GGTCATCTGAAAAGGGATTATAGGCAAGTCATCATAGAACCAATGTTTTTTCTATAGATAATCTGAACAGAAGGCCCTAGACTTCAGGAGTAAGCAGAGGTGTGTCAAAGGCTAGCATTAGACTAATGAATGCAGATCAACAAGGGACAGGCAAGGTAAACCGTTGCTATCAGGAAATGGATGTATTTCATTTTGCAGAGTTTGAAAAATTAAGGAATGTGCACCATACCATAGATACATAGTCAGAATTTCAATGGGCAACTGCTTTGAGTTCTAAAAAGGCTGATTCTGCAATTATACATTTATTAGAAGTTATGGTCATTAGGGGAATACCCATACAAAATAAGACTGACAATGTTCCAGCAGATATCTCTGTAAATTGAAACATTTTTGCATATTACAACGTAAAGCATATTACAGGCATACCACACAACCCTACCAGACAAAAAATTATAAGAAGACCTAATAGCAATTTAAAAGATATGCTTAATAAACAGAAAGGTGTAATAAAGACCCCCAGAGATAGATTACACAATGCTTTATTAATTTTAAATTTTTTAAATGCTAATGAGAAAAAATGAAAGGGACAGAGAGACATTGGATAGTAGGAACAATTACTGAATTAATCAGCCTATATATGTTAGAGATGTGTTTACCTCAGAATGAAAACAAGAATATGTATTACATTGAGGAAGAGGTTTTGCTTTTGTTTCCACAGAAGAAAAGCTATAGATACCATCAAGATTGATAAGGATTAGATTCGAACCAGAAAGACCTCTTGATTAGGAGAGGTGATAGCTCATCAAACATCATGGCCATTCAATCTAAACTGACTTATAAGACTAATAAATGCCTTTTATTTGATCAGATATAACCTGCCAAAAAAGGGAAACTCCTCAAAGTTAGGGTTGGGGCAGGGTTTTGTTTCATCTTCCCAGGAGAATAAGGGCATTCAATAACTAAGGAATTTGAAGACCACTGGACAAATGAGATATTGTAAGAAAAAGGGCAAATCATTAAGAGAACATGTCCCCCCAAAAGGGTAAATTGGCCTAATGGTTTGGAACATTCCTAGTAGGATAAAATTTCAGAAATCTTCCCAAATGATTGCTTCTGCTGTTTTCTACAGACATATAAGGCAGATGGTCTTTTGTAGTCCCAATTCAATGAAAAATTAAAGCTGGCTTTGGAGCTGGAGTATGGTTCTCTCCTTCTCTAAACCCAAGCATTATTTTTAAAGAAAAATCCAAAATCTCTGTCTCATATTAGAAGAGCCATCTGGTATGGGACAGAAGAAAAATCAAAATTTAGGGACTATTCTATTTCCATTAATCTCATAATCCTTTGCTTTTATTTTGACTTTTTCAAACTTTTCTTAAAGTATAAATATTAGGGGAACTGAAGAGATGGCTCAGTGGCTAAAAGCACTGGTTGTTCTTCCAGAGGACCCGGGTTCAATTCCCAGCACCTACACAGGAGCTCACAGCTGTCTGTAACTCTATCCTCAGGGGATCTGACATCCTCACACAGACAAATACACAGGCAAAACACCAATGCACATAAAATAAAAATAAATGAATCATTAAAAAACCCAGACAGGCAGATCAATGGGATCAAATTGAAGACTCAGACATAAATCCACACTCTTATGGACACCTGATTTTAAGAAAAAAAATGTATAAATATTATCTCAAAATTCATAAGACTATTAAATATTTAAACTTTATGTCATGATATTAATGGTCATATAGAGTACTAATTCTAGAAAGAAGCTTAATCTAGCTTCCTGTGTGTGATTTTGGGTATGTCTCTAAAGTAGGTAACTAGGAACTAAGTTTGCATACCCCAGATATACTTAGCAAAATGTGGTCCTTTCTCTCTGAGATCTGCTGCATGTGATAAAATGTTTAAGTTTTCTGCAGTAGACCGTAACTATTCCTAGCAGTGACCTTTGACATCTCCAAGAAGATCATAGGGCCCTGCAAAGACGATTCCACCTGGATTGTGGTAACTCCATTAAGCTGACAAATATCACTCAAAGATCAGTTTTGGACTACAAACTGCTCAAGACAACTTCAAAGTGTTTAGCTAAGATGGTACAGCCTCATAGACTACTCCAGTCAGGAGTTTAGATAAGCTGTGAACTTTCCCATCACACTAAGATAACAGTTAGCTCTCCCAGAACTTGACCATTATCTCCATTTTCTCAGGGTTCCCCAAAGCTGCTGTCACTCCCAGACAACAGAAAGTAAAACAGGATACCCATTCCCAAAGGTGGGCTGATGGTTTTTGGCTGTTAGGTGGGTTACAGATGTTTATCATTGTTTAGGAAGGTTGGTTGCAAGTTGTTATTGGTCATGGTCAGGTAGGAAACTAAATAAAGGAGATTAGATCAGGGATCTCATTCTGAAAAGAAAAAAAGGGGAACATAGAATGATAAGGAAAAAGGGTAGATTATTGAATCTACGTTTAAACTTAAAAAAAAGCAACTACTAATCTCAAATATTTTACATTGGTATGGATTTTTGTATAGTGATACAAATTTATGGTTATATTTGTTATAATGTATATATTTCTACTCTTGTTTAAGGTATTGTGCCTATACAACTCATTTAACAATATAATGTAAAGTTATAGTCCTTGAAAATTATTATTACAAACTATTTAGGATAATTAAGAAATACAGGTTAGTAGTTGTTATCTATGATAATCAAATTTGTGGTCACAATAGGTATGTTTTCAAGGTCAAACAGAGATATATTTTAGATAGAGAGATGGTCTTCAAACACTTCAGAGACCTACAGAATATGGCTCTTAATAAGTTTTAATAACATAAGGCTTTTCATGACAGTGAGACACATCTGTTCCTGGCAGTATCAATTTACTTTAAAAAAAAGAGGATGGGCATTGAAGAACCTCCATAGTGTGTTCACTTTCATTGTGGCAAAGTTATCTACTGGGCAGGAAACAGCCCTTACCTTGAGTGCTGACAGTATGCTGTCCAAATTGGACAATCAGGACAAAAGAGAAGATGATTTCCAAATTTGCTAAGACAAGATAGGACAGTCCTTTAAAAAGTCCTGCTTCACAGAAAAATCTGTTAGATATCTAGGCCTGTAGGCCAAAGATGGATGCCTCAACATTGCAGAGGAACCTTGGGTGACTGTCCAGGCAGCCAGTGTCTGTCATTTCTATACTTTTGGAAGTTCTTTGCTCTGTGCTTCCTGTTTACTCAGGAAATTATATAACCTTCTCATGTCTCTGATAGGATTAAAGACTAGATAGTTATAGTTACAATTTTCCTTGTTACCAAATTCAGAAAGAAACTAACAAAAGATATGTAAAGTGTATAAGGCTGAAAGGCATAAAAACTTAAGTTGTGTATCTAAGAAAATGTTTTAAGGTCTAAAAAGATATTTCTAGGTTAGAAATACAAGTTATGATAAAAAGTGAATTAGGTACAAAACTTTGAACTCACCAAGATAGGATAGATAATTAGATCATTTTCTCCAAATACAAATGGACTGAACATTGTGAAGGTAATTCTTACTTGATAATTGTTCTTTTTTGTTTGTTTGATTGGTTTTTTTTTTTTGAGGAAAAAAAAGGTTGATCACAGAGATCAACCTTCATCTGCCTCGCAAATGCTGGAATTAAAGGTGTGTGGCATCATCGCTTGGTTTGATAATTGTTCATATTGTATACAGTTTTACTTTGTTAAAAACTTTTCCTTTTAAACAAAAAGGGGAAAATGTTGCAAGATATTTGTTCTTACTGTTACTCTGAAATGGACAATAAAGTTTAACCTTGAATCAGGGGGCAGAATTAGTGATTGGCTAACTAGAATTCCAGAATTAGCTATAGAGGTTTAGGAGGACCTAGAACACATATAGAAAGACACAGGAAGTAGTCAGGATGGGCTGAAAAATATTCGTGGGCCCTTTGGATCAGGGAAGGAGAGAGAGAGGAGGTCACTGGTAGCTTCTCCACCACTTCTTTCATCAATCGGATTTTTACCCTGATATCCGACTCCCAACTCTTATTTAATAATAGAACAATATAAGAAAACGTTTCAAATGGTGCTACCCACAATGAGGTTTTCCAACCTCAGCTCATGAGATCAAGAAAATCCCCCACAGACCTCCTCACAGACCAACCTGATTTGAATAAATCCCTTATTGAGACTGTGTTCCCAAGTTGATTCTAGCTTGTGTAAAGTTGAGAATTCAAACTAACCATGACAATTCTCTTCCTTGTTAATTAACACACAAATATATAATTTTGACCTATAGTCTTCTGCCCCTTATATTTATTATATTTACTCATATTTATTTCATAATGTAAAATACAGCCCAACTTTCAAAGTTTCCAGAGTCTTTTAAGATTCCAACACTGTAAAAGTCCTAGTTTCTTAACTATGAGATCCTGTAAAATAAAAAAAAAAAACAAGCTATGTACTTCAACAAAATACTGACACAGCGTGCATAAACATTCTTATTTTGAAAAGGAAGGGCAGAGCTATGAAACAATCCCACCAAAGCAAAACCAAGATCTAGTGTGGAAAATACCAAATTGTGTAGTTCCACGTCCAGCATCTGGATTTATGACGCAATCTGTTGGGCTCAAAAGTAGCCCTGTGCCCTCCAGCTGTTACTTGCACCAGACACAGCTCTCCTTTTAGGCTTAGGCTGGCTCTATTCCACAACTATGGAATGACTGTGGGAGATGTTCCACTGTCCTGGCATCTCCAATAACCTGGCTCTCCACTGTAACTAAGGCTTTGTCTTCACAGCCTCACTCAGTGGTCTTCCTGGAGCTCTCAGCAGGGTCTCTAACCCTGTCACATGGTATCCGGCTTCAGCTATCCTTCACAGTCATCTGAATCTTGAATACATCATGCTTTCAAAACCAGCATCTCGTGAAACAATGTTTACAACACTGCCCAGTTCTGCTGCTCGTTTATGATGTACCCTGGCCTCCTTGAACCACAGCTGTGTCACCTTTTGTGTGTTGATCCGAGGAACACTTCCTGTTGTCCCAGTGCAGAGCAGGAAACTTCTCCACATGGTACTGATCTCTCTGTTACAACTGCTTCTTTAGTGCCAGCTTGAATATCAGGTTGCTTTGAAATTTCCTCTGCTGAATAAATCTGTCATTTACCTTCAAATTCAACTTCACTTGTGATCTCAAGACATGAGCAGATGATTATCCACATGAATGGTCATTATCCTAGTTCCTATTAGAGTTCTTGTTCCTATCTGAAACCTTTGAGCTGGGCCTCCACTCTCCATTTTTCTCAGTATTCTTTTTTTCCAAGCACAACAATGGTCCATTAAGCTATGCTTATATCATTCAATAGCTTTTCTAGTCCGAAGTACCAAAGTGTTCCATGTTCTTTGCACAAAAAGCAATTCCAGGACAGGTGAGATGGCTTTGCTGATAGGAGTGCTTTCTGCTAAACCTAACAACCTGAGTTCAATTCCTGGAAATCTACACTGTGAAAGGAGAGAAGTGACTCTCAAAATTGTTCTCTTTTCTCCACATTCTCTCTCTCTCTCTCTCTCTCTCTCTCTCTCTCTCTCTCTCTCTCTCTCTCTCTTTTTCTCTCTCCAGAAAACAGATTAGATCAGGGCCTTTGGTATGAGGAACTTGCTGAACCCAAAAAAGCAACTTTTGCATAACTATCAATAAATGTGCTTTTGCATAGTTGTTCCTCAAAACTGTTCCTGCTGTCACAGAGCCCGAGTTGCATCTTGGAGAGATCCACTTTTTGGCCTGTCGCGCATAACACAGAACCCCGGCACTCCTTCACTGAGACTGTCTTTCCAGGTGATTCTAGAGTAAGTTGACAGTAAAACTGTCACAAACACAAGTTTACTATACTTACTGTGCATCTAAGTGGGGGTGCTGAGTGGGGTGCTGGAAAGTGAATTCTGCAGCAAGGAGGGCTAGAGATGGAAATGTGAGTGCTATCCACATAGAGATGGTGTTTAAAGACAAAGATTAGATCACTAGGGAGGAAGTACAGGCGGAGAAGAGGCCTAGCACCAGAGACTAGGGAAATTATGAGAAGGAACCATCCAGAGGCTGAGGATAAATAATCTGTTAAGTGGACAAGTAGGGCAGAGTCATGTTCTGGAAGTTCAGGGCTTTCTAACCATTATTCTCCCAACATGAAGAATTTTACTAAACTGAAAAGGAAGTTCTAAAAAGCACAAGAGTAGGAATCCCCATAATTATATGGGATAATGTGTTTTGTTAGTAAGTGTCTGAATTAGGGTTTCCATTATTGTGAAGATACACTATGGCCACGGTAACTCTTATAAAGGAAAATATTTTATTGTGGTAGCTTGCTTACAGTTCAAAGGTTTAGTCTATTATTGTCATGGCGGGAAACAAGGCAGCATGGAGGCAGACATGGTGCTAGAGAAGGAGCTGAGAGTTCTACATCTTGACTCACAGGAACAGTAAGTGGTCTGAGAAACTGGGCATGGTTTGAGCATATATAAAACCTCAAAGTCCACCTTCAAGGGACACACTTCCTCCAACAAGGCCACACCTATTCCAACAAAGGCACACCTCCTAATAGTGCCACTTCCTTTGGGGGCTATTTTCTTTCAAACTACAGTATGTGAGCAATTTATAATCCTAAGAAAATAGGATATTAAGATGGAAATGTCTACAAGGATAAAAAATAATTATGAATATTCAACACTTTGTTAATTTGGCTATAGAAGATCAATTTTACTATTCTACTTTAAGAAGTAAATTTTAGCCAAAGTCTCTGTACAGTTGGGGGCATTTAAGAGAACTCAAGCTGATAGGATATAGATAAGAATTACTTAAGAGAATGGGGCTTGGTGATATATGCCTATACTATCAGGACTTGAGAGACAGAGGCAAGAAGATCATCCTGAGTTTTAAGCCAGCCTGAGCTACATACTGAAACTCTAAGAGAACCACACACATGAACCAAACCAAAACCAAAAACGAACTAAACAGAAAAATCTAACTGTTTAAGAAACCATGAAGGTTTTATTAAGACAATTCAGACACTTAAAAAGATAGACTATATTAAGGTTATAATTAGATGAGGTTACATTTGTAAATGGAACAACAAGAAAATGTCTTAAAAGTTACTACTAAAATTTGCTACTAGACTTAGACCATGACTTATAAACTAACAATGCAAAGGGAGGTATCATCTTCCTGGCACTGGGCTTTTGTTGCATGTAGCTCCTGGGGGAAGTATTATTAAACTGTGTAGGGTAATTCCATTAAAATATATATATCATTTTTTTTGACGGTCTCTGTAAGATTTTAAGATTTTAATGCTCAGTTTTCACAAACACATGTTTCTATCCAATTTTATGACGTACAGTAAAATGCACTAGTCTTTAAAAACAGGCATTATCCAACTATCCTTCATGTTCTCTTCCAATCGTTCAAAATTCATCACCGGGTGTTTTTATCTCAGTAATACTCCACTTCCTGTATTTACATTTGAATTCCATGTCATAAGAATAAACAAAATCCATGATATTTTGGTTAACTCAGTGTATTTATAAAATGAAAAGTCCTATCAAAATACTTTTCACTGGAAAAAATAAATAGAACAGACAATGGATCTACTCAAAGCACACATTCACTTTGGTAGACTTCAGTGTAGGACAGTTCATGACAAGCACATTTGCCCTTATTCCCCCAGAGCCGAGCAGTAAAATATATTTTTAAGTAAGCTTATAAAACAGTAGGTTTCCCAGTGGCTTTTCCAATCATTCTTAGTGTTATTTAGCTCTCCTTTCTCTTCCTCTGTACTTTTGGTTTGTTTTTTTTTCGAGACAGGGTCTCTCTCCCTCCCTCCCTCCCTCCCTCCCCCCCCCCCTCCCTCTCTCTCTCTCGACAGGGTTTCTCTATGTAGCTTTGGAGCTTGTCTCGGTACTCACTCTGTAGACCAGGCTGGTTTTGAACTCACGGAGATCCGTCTGCCTCTGCCTCTCAAGTGCTGGAATTAAAGGTGTGCACCACCACTGCCTGGTTCTCTCCCTCTGTATTATCTTCCCTCCCATTTCCCATTTGATCTCCTTTCTTCCTTCCTAGCATCTGTCTCTTGCCATCTTGCCATGCCTCTCTCTATATAGAGGTCCTTCACACCCACCCCCTGTAATGATTCCTTTCTGTTTTTCTGGCTGGTTACACTAAGTTACACACTCAAACCTAAAGATTCAAATCTAGGAACCCCCCCAAAAAAAACCAATATAAATTATTGCCATTGTTCTTGGTTGATTGCCATACATGAGGGTATTACCCTATTGCTGAAGACACCATAAAAATCTGTCACAGTCCTTAAAGAAATGAAACTGTGTCAAAAAGGTGATAGGTAAGCTGCCAAAGGAGAAAAGTTATCAACAATTCTACGTTACTGTAAAGTTCAAGAACCACAACTACTGTACTAGCAAGATATCCCTAATGGTGCAATAGTGGCACTTTTACTTGGGGGTGGGTAACCAAAAGCCTGCTTAATTCAGGGGAACTTATGCCTGGTCCTGTAAACCTAGCTAAAAAAAAAAAAAAAAAAAAAAAAACATGGCAGAAGAGGTCAAATTCTAGAGGATAATCTGCTACAAGTGTACTGCTAAATAATAAAACTTACAACTTCCTTCTAAATACTTATTCTTACATTCATAGGTACAGCTCTCATTCCTCTTCGATGACACTGCTTTTTGTAGCAGATGGAGGATACTACAGAGATACTATCATTTGTTGAAATGGTTAAAATGTAGAGACTAGGCGAGCATGGCGTGCTAGATGTCCTACTCGGGGCTGAGGAATATTTCAGAGAAGGAGATGAAAAGATTGTAAGAGCCTGAGGACCAGGATGACTGCTGTAAGACACTGTCTTCTGGACATTACAGGGATGTCATAATCACAAACACTTAACAATATGATCGTCTGCTGCAAATACCACACCGATCGACATGCCAATGTGGCTGGAGGAAAATATCACATGGCTGCATCCCCAGAAGAGCTATAGGCAGTCAATAGCTGATGAGGGAGGGTAAATCAGCTTTCCTCAGGGACAAGTACCCAACCCTAAGTTGTTGGCTTTAAACAATACACATATGAGCAACACTAATTAGACTCAGGAGGTTCACATACACATATGTCATATACATATATTATATACACATAATAGCGCAACAGTTATAGAAGAAAAAGTAATAAAATTGAGAGGTAGTGGTGGTATACATGAAGAATTGGGGGGGGGTAAAAAATCATGCTAGTACAGTGCACTTGTATACAATTCTCAACGTTTTAGGAGTTTGAACACTGAATAAGATAAAGTTGGGTTTTAAATTTTTAATGAAATGTCAATTATTTATGGATCTTTTTTCCTTACTTGTTTTTGAGACAAGGTCCCATGTAGCTTAGGCTGGCCTCAGACTTGCTTTGTAACTGAAGATGATCTTGAACTCCTGATCCTCCTTCCTCTTTTTTCAGGTGCTAGGAGTATAGGTATGTACCATTATCCTTGGCATAAATGTTCATTTAAGAAAGTAAAGTATCTGGGCATAGTGGCACATGCTTGTAATCCAGCATTAGGAAATTAGAAGGAGAAGGATCAAGAATTCAAGGTTAGGGAATGGAGAGGTGGCTCAGCAGTTAAGAGCACTGACTGCTCTTCCAGAAGTTCTGAGTTCAATTTTCAGCAGCCACGTGGTGGCTCACAACCATCTGTTAATGAGATCTGGTGCCCTCTTCTGGCGTGCAGTCATACATGCAGGCAGAACACTATATACATAATTAATATATATTTAAAGAAAAAAGAATTCAAGGCTACGGCAGGCAGTAGTGGCAAGCACCTTTAATCCCAGCACTCGGGAGACAGAGGCAGGCGAATCCCTGTGAGTTCGAGACCAGCCTGGTCTACCAGAGCTAGTTCCAGGACAGCTAGGACTGTTACAAAGGGAAACCCTGTCTTGAAACCTCCCTGCCCCCCCAAAAGAATTTAAGGTTAACTTATCCTTAGCTACACAATGGGTCTGAGGCCAGCCTAAGTTACATGACATCTTGCCTCAAACAAATAAAACCAAAACAGTGGTCACTCTGGAAAATTCTCAAAAAATTTGAGAGTTCTCAAAAAACTAAAAACAAACCTACCATATTGCCAGTTATACCACTGCTGGGCATATGTCCAAAGGTTTTCACATCCTACTGCATTGATACCTGCATCATTCTATTTACAATATCTAGGATAAGGAAACACCCTAAATGTCCTTCAACTGGTGAATGGGTAATGAAAATGGCTACATATACACAGAGGAACACTATTCAGCTGCAAAATGAAATTGGGAAATTTGCAAGTAAATGGATGGAACTGGAAAAGATTATCCAGACCCAGAAAGACAAAGACCACGTTTTCTCTTATTTGTGGATGCTAGCTCTGAATCTTCAGAAAAGAGCCTTAGTGTTCTATTGCTGTGAAGAGACATTATGGTCAAGGCAAATCTTATAAAAGGGCTCATACTTCCCA